CAGCTTAATCTTACAGAATATCTTTGCTTCCCTTTCAAACAATGTAAGAATTTTAGAACACTTTCTCTTATTTTCCTGTTTTTGCTTTTTTTTAAACAGAGGAATGATATTAAAATCCTGATCTTCCCACTTCTGCCTCCTGAATGCTGGGATCACAGGTGTAGGACAGATCTGGTTCCACTCTTCTGTTTTGAATATGATTGTCATGCAGTTCAAGCCTTTTAAACCCATAACTTACCAAATACTGCATACTTAGCATGCACAAAGCCATGAGTTCAGTCCTTCGAGCCCCCCCCCCACACACACACAGGATTTTATTTGTTCCGTGCTCTTTCTTGCATTCCAACTGTCTTTGGGAGAGAAGAGTTAACTTTAAAATACCTTCCTGTAGGGCTGAAGAGATAGTTTGGCAGTTAGAAAAGCTTGGTGTTCTGGCAGATTTCAATCTAGTTCCCAGCACTCACATTGTCAAGTAGTTCAAAGTCACCTCCAGAGAATCCAGTGTTTTCTTCTGGCCTTGTGGGCACACAAACACACATGTACATGTACACGTACGCAAAACTAAATAAATCTTTTCAAAAAATATTGTCTTATAAGGAAAGTTCATTTGGTTTCTTTTTGGGGAAGGGGGTGCAGGGTGTGTGGCTCAAGACAGGATTTCTCTGTGTATCAGCACTGACTGTCCTGGAACTTGCTTTGTAGACCAGGCTGGCCTCTACCTCTGGAGTGCTGGGATAAAAGGTGTGTGCCACCATGCCTGGCAGAGCAAGTATTAAGAACAATAAACTTTGTTAGATTTTGCTTCTATATAAACACCTATATTTGTCCCACTTCTTTCTTTCTTTCTTTCTTTCTTTCTTTCTTTCTTTCTTTCTTTCTTTCTTTCTTTCTTTCTTTCTTTCTTTCTCCCTCCCTCCCTCCCTCCCTCCCTTCCTTCCTTCCTTCCTTCCTTCCTTTCTTATTGTTGTTTGTTTTTTGTTTGTTTGTTTGTTTGTTTTTCGAGACAGGTTTCTCTGTGTAGCCCTGGCTCTCCTGGAACTCACTCTGTAGACCAGGCTGTCCTCAAACTCAGATATCTGCCTTTGCCTCCCAAGTGCTGGGATTAAAGGCATGTGCCATACCTACCCAGCAATATATTATCATAGTCTTTTTAAAAATTATTTTATTTTATGTGTATTTTGTCTACATGTATGGACATGCATCATGTGCATGCCCAGTGCCCATAGAAGTCAGAAAAGGGTATCAGATCTCTGGAACAAGAGTTACAAACATGTGTAAGCCACTGTTGGTACTGGGAATTGAACCCAGGTCCTTTGGAAGAGCAGCCAGTGAGTGCACTTAACCACTGAGCCACTTCTACACCCCCTGACCCCATTTCTTAAAGAACTTGTCCCCAGAGTAGAGTTTTGTAGGTTAACAGTGATTTTCTCTCAATATTTTAATAATATTTGCCTTATAATTCTGGTTTCAGTTGTTGCTGCTGAATTTTTCTTTCATTATTTTATTTTAAATTAATTACTAGTATGTGTGTTTATGTATGGATGGATGCTGAAACACTTGTGTGGAGTTCAGAGGACAACTCTGTGAAGTCAGTTCTCTCCTTCTACCATTACATGGGTCCAGAAGTTGAATGTAAGTTCAGGCCTGCACTGCAAGTATCTTTCCTGGCTGAACTGTCTTGTCTGCCCATCTTTTATTTTTGTAAGTGAATAGTCCTTTCTCTAACTTCACTAAATATGTCCCTTTGTCTTTGGTAGCTTTGGTGAATTTAGTATGGATGTGTTTTTATTGTCTAATCCAGGCCTGAGCCTAAATAATATTAACCTGCTGGATTTATGAATACATGCATAATTCCTTTTCAGTTTTGGCAAGTTCATATATATTATTTCTTAACTGTTGCTTCTGTTTCTGTCTTTTCTCCTTGAAGATCTGTATTTAGATCTATGTTACTTTTTTTCCTCCTATCCCATAACTTTGTGTTTACATATTACAATCTCCATATCATCATTTTATTTGTATGACTGGTTGGCTAGTTTTCTTTCTACTTCTTTCTATGTTATTAAAAGGGAATCTGTGGTGGTTTAATGAGAATGTTTCCCATAAGCTCATATGTTTGACTACTTGGTCCTCAGTTGGTAGAACTGTTTGGGAAGGATTAAGAGGTGTGGCCTTGTTGGAGAAGGGTGTCACTAGGGGTGGGCTTTGAGGTTTCAAAAGTCCGGGCCATTCCCAGTGCTCTCTCTGCTTTCTACTTGAGGATAGGGATGTAAGGTCTTAGCTGCTGCTCTAGCACCATGCCTGCCTGCCTGCTGTGCTTCCCCCATGATGGTCATGGACTCCAACCCTCTGCAACCAGGAGCCCCAAATTAAGCACTTTGTTTTTTATAAGTTGCCTTGGTCATAGTGTTTTTGTCATGACAACAGAAAAGTAAGACAAGAGTTGGTACTAAGAAGTGGGCTATTGCTAGGACAAGCCTGACCATGCTGTTTTTTGAAGGAATATGGAAGACTTTGGGACATTGGATTAGGAAAGTTGTTGAATACTATAAGTGGGGCTGAACAGACCATCCTAATAGGAGCTTGGAGGACAGCAGTGCTGAGAACAATGTGGATTCTGGCTTTAGAGTCCTGAAGGATACAGGAGTAAAGGAGTTGTGGAATCTTCCTCTGCAGTTAAGAAAAGTCTCTGAGGCCAGGTGTATGGCAGGAAAATCCCTGTATGGAAGCCCAGCGAAACCATACATGTAGTTATAAAAATGAAATCTGGATTGTGTTGGAGACCCCAAGATGTTGACGATGCCAGAGTCACAGGAGATGCCTGCCAAGAAGAGTGGAACCAAACCAAGAGAGAAAGACATGGAAGGGAAGAGCTATCTAAGCCCATTGACAGCAGATATAGAGCAATAGGATTTGAAGTTTACCCTGCTGAATTTCTGTCTTGCCTTGGTCCAGTATTTTCTCACTATATTCTCATTCCTCCCTTTTTGTAGGGAGGTAATGTATATTCTGTGCCATTGTATATTGAAAGTATGCAATTTGCTTTTTGATTTTACAAGAAGTTTTAGTTAAGAAGTTGCCTTGAGTTTCTGAAGAGACTTTGATTTTGGACTTTAAAACAATGTTCAGACTATGAAAGACTATGGAAACTTTTAGAGTTGGACTAAAGTCATTTCACATTATGATATGGCCACAAGCCTATGACAGTCAAGGAGTAGAATGTGGTCGTTTGAATGAGAATGGCCCCATAAGCTCATATGTTTGAATAATTGGTCCCCAGTTGGTGGAGCTGTTTGGGAAGGATTAAGAGGTGTGGCCTCATTGGAGGAGGTATGTCACTGGTGATGGGCTTTGAGGTTTCAAAAGCCTAGGCCAATCCCAGTTATCCCCTCTGCCTCATATTTGCAGAAAGGGATGTAAGCTCTCATGCTCTAATACCATGCCTGTCTGCCTGCAGCCATGCTCCCCCCCATGATGGTCATGGACTCCAACCCTCTGCAACCAGGAGCCCCAAATTAAACACCTTCTTTTATGTTGCCTTGGTCATGGCATTTTGTCACAACAACAGAAAAGTAAGACAGAATCTAATAGCAAGTCACTTTTATAGCTCTTAATTGGCTTGATTCTGTAATTGGAAAGCATACTGGGCAAAAAGAAGTTCAGAACGTTCTACACTCACATGCACAGGCTGTATATATAGTAAAAAAGAAAAAAGAAAAGAATATATAAAAAATGGAAATGAGGGGGCTGGAGAGATGGCTCAGCAATTTAGAGTACTAGCTGCTCTTCCAGAGGACCTGAATTCAATTCCATGTGGGTGCTGCCCACATGGCAGTTCACAATTGTTTGTAACTCCAGTTCCAGAGGATATGACACACACATGTGGAGATACATGTAGGCAAAACACCAACATACATAAAATAAAATGTAAAAAAAGAAAATGGAAGTGAAGTATACAGACTGCTTAGTTGGGTAAAACTTATATTTGTCTTATTTGATCCTTGTTTTAAGCAGTTGGCTGTCTGGTTTGCAGAAGCTGAGCTGAAATGATTGTCTGAGATTCAGCACTTGTTATAAAGATTGAAGTCTGTTACACATCAAATTAGGTTACAATTCACTATGTACAAAGGCACCATTAGTCCAATTTAAGTGCATCTTTAGGTCAAACTACATTCAATTGAATAGAATTTACCCTGAGACATACCTCTCTGTCCACTAATTCTCTCTTCATCAATATCTAATCTAATATTCATATTACAGTGACCTTTTAAACCAATAGTTATATTTATTATTGAAAACACTATTTTTTCAAAGTTATTTATTCCAATTGTTTATGATGTGATGCTTTCAGTGGTAGCCATGGGCAGGGAAGTGAGTTCAGACCACCCCAGTAGGGAGTATTTCAACACTGACATTGTTTAGAATTGATGGCTCCTGATAATAATAACAGTGAAATCATTGCTTTGTAATATTTAATATTCATTTAGAATTTTCCACAAGTGTCATCATATCCTTATCTGTTCCTAAGGCTGATTGTTCCCATTGTGTTATGCCATTGAGCTTACTTATATTTTTGTATTAGTCAATACAAAATATTTTTGCTGTAACCAAATACGTAACAAGAAGAAACTAACAGGGTGTGGGGGTGCTTATTTTGCTTCCCAGAGTGAGAGAATGCAATCTATCATGGTGGAGAATGATTGTAGAGTTCATGACAATAGGATCATGAGGCTGAGACTCTTAACTATTGATGGACCAAGAAGCAAAAAACAGACAGGAAGTTGGGGCAGACTATAAAATCTCAAGACATTTACCCAATGACCTACTTTCTCCAGTGAGAGTTCAACTCCTAAAGTTATACACACCTCCAAAGGTACAACAGCTGAGGACATACTGTTCAAACACATGAACCTATGGAGGACATTTCACATTCAAACTATGGCATTCTACCTCTTGTTCCCTTTGACTCAGATGTGTAACTGGTGTCTTTTAATTATTCTCAGGCTGTCCAGGGCACAGGCCTGGCCTTCATTGTCTATACTGAGGCCATTAAAAACATGGAAGTGTCCCAGCTGTGGTCAGTGCTCTACTTCTTCATGCTGCTGATGCTGGGTATAGGAAGCATGCTTGGAAACACAGCGGCCATCCTTACCCCTCTGACTGACAGCAAGGTCATCTCCAGCTACCTGCCCAAGGAGGCCATTTCAGGTCAGGACACCAGGCAGTGGAGGCAGGGCATGGGTGGGTGGGGAAATGCAAGGCAATCAGTGGAGGGGCTTCCTCGGGAGCCATGTGCTTCTAAGGAAACTCCAGGAGGGCTTCAGGAGTCTAGCTGTGTTCCTGATACAGTGTGATACTCAGCCCTAGGAGCCAGCTAAGAACCCACCACAGCTTCACTTGGGTAGACTGGCCTAGGAGCTGTATGCACATGTAAAGTGGACTGCAGAGACCCAATTTCAGAAAAGATAACAAGTACTTGGAGGCTCCAAGGGAAGGAGAAAAGGTGACAACTCCCCAGCCCACATTCAAAGGTCTCCAGTCCTTTGAGAGCCTACATCTGTCTCTGTTTTAATCAAAGGATAATGGTTATCAACTGTCCATTTCCTAAGGTGAGCATATGATCTGTTTCCACACTAGAAGGAGCTCCTTCCACATACTCTCCAGGCAATAAACACCCAATAGATCATCCTGTTCTGACTACTAATGCTACTAGTTTTTGTCTTTGTTCCTGAAAGTCATTGAAAAGGATAATCTGGGCTTGACATTCAAAACCTCTGCCTCTGATGCTTCTATGTCCAGGGTAGGTGAAAAAGTGTTACATCAGATCACATGTTCTGGCCATCCAGTGGGATATGTCCTCTTCCTCTTTCCTCAGAGCCTCCTAGCACTTGGTATCTTTTCTGAAATTGGGTCTTTGTGCTCCAGATTAGATGTGCATATAGTTCCTTTCTCCTTTAAGTGAGCATCTCAGGGCATTCAGTGACTGAGGCTGTGTGGTGTGGCAGTGGAAAGGGCACAGCTACTATAAATTCAAACACATCATGGAAAGACCTAAGGAGTCAGAAGAAAACTTGGAGAGATTGGTGGTTAAAGACAAGAGCTCAAATATTGACTCTGCCATGTTGTGCTATAGGCAGTTACTTGACATAACTAATCCTTGGCATCCTGTTATAAAAGGGATTCCTGGCTGCTACCTTGGAGGCTTAATCTGATACATGACCAGAGTCTGGCATTAGATAGGACTTACACAAACTGTATTTTCTTCCCAAGCCAATCCTTATCTGGGCCCATACACCATATTTAAGCCTTATCCTTGGTCTACTTCCCATTATCTCTGTGGCTAAGTTGTTGGGATCTTCAGCATCCCCAGACTCTCCGCCATCATGATGTCACCCAAAGAGCAACACCTGACTGTTGTTTTTTTCCTGCTCTGTAATCCCCTGCAGAACAGCTCCTATAGCTCATGTGGGTTTGAACCCACCCTCCAAAGCACATCTAGGGATCTATGGCTCTTGTTGACATTGAATGTGGGATGAAAGCCAGGGAGACTCAAAGAGATGAGCAGTGATCTTGTGTTCCAGGTCTGGTGTGTCTCATCAGCTGTGCCATTGGCATGGTGTTCACCATGGAGGCTGGGAACTATTGGTTTGACATATTCAA